TCTTCGTCAGGTGGTGCCGACGTCACTGACGGCGGCAGCAACCCAATCGGAACTACTGGTTTCTGCAAAAGCCTAGGGAGCAAACGAAGCGGGTCCGGTTCAAACTCAGGGCAACTCCTTAGGGTCACAACTTGGCAACCTTGAACGACGGATGCCTGCCTGATAAAATCTTTGACGTCTTGGTCCATACCCTGCTCGAGATTCACTATTTCATGGAGCTTAAAAGCTATATTGGAGGGATAATCAATCCATTCCGGGATGACGGTGAAGTCCTCTGGGCGCTGTCGGTGGCCTGCAATTAGCTTGTCTGGAGGGCCCCCAAAAGCGGCGGTGGATGCGCTGTAAATGCTGAAATAGGCCAATTTGATCCTCATTGGAGCAGCAATTCGCGGTAACCAATGTGGCGCGAAATCATGGATAATCCAATCTACCCGTGAGGTTTTGAGGATGTCAGCCAAAGGGGTTTCGAGATTGTCATATGCCTTCTTGAGGTAAGGCACTTTGTGAATCGGAATATCGGCGGTTGACTCGACTCCCGGCGGTAGCCCCTCAACCTGAGGCATGGGAAGTTGTACAAAACTCAAATTGAGAAATAATTCGGAAGGCAATTTTGGGAGGCGGCTGATGTTTTTGGGGGTGGAGATGTATGATACTCGATGACCCATTTGAACTAAGAATTTGGAGACTTCGAGAAAGGGGAGGATGTGGCCGTAAGCCAGCCATGGGAACACTGCAATGTGAAGCTTTTGTTGGACAATACTCATGGCGGAAACAGAGTGGTGGATGCTGCGGAAGAAATGTTTGCTCCGTTTTGATGTTCTAGAGCAGAAATCTTTACATTATAAATCATTAATGGGATTTTTTTGAACCACGAGTGTAATGCCAAAAATGGATTTGTATTCAAATCATTTTCGAGATTAATGTGTGGGACTTCTATAATTCATCGTTGATTTTGAGGGCCCCTTTGGTTGCGGTAATCGCCCCGAAATTTTTGTTTAAGTGGCAAGATCAAATACTTTTATGATATTTTATCAGTTTAGATTTTAGAAATGATTAATAATTAATAAAATCTTTAATGTTTATTTTTTAATATATTAAAATTAATTTCTAAGTAAATATTTTCATACATTATAATTAATTATTTTTAAAAAAATTATAAATTGAAACCATTGTTGCTTTTATTTTTTTAATTAAAAATTTAAGGGCA